TTTAAAAATTATATTTAAAAATATTATTAAGAAAATTTATTCAAGAAAATTTATTTTATGTCACATGCGCATATACGTAAAAATACTTCAATAATAACTTTTATTATCGCTGTAGTATATACTAGAATAACAAAACATCACGCGCAGCTAATAAAACATTAATAAATCCATAATATATCTCTACATTTTTGATCCACAATGTGTTTAGCACGGACATGCACCAACCGGTCGTTTTATCATGGCATCAAAAAGTGAATCTGGCCATGTAGTTTCGCCAGCTCTAAAATGGATCCAGTTAGCGCCACTGTACCAGCTAGGAAAAGGGTCTCACGAAAAACGGCGACGTGGCCCCTCTCAAGCTTCTCTCTGATTTTATATTTGTGTTAACCTAACCTTTTCTGGCTTCCATAATAAAAATAAATACGATTGGAGTCCACATACGAGCTACGGGCTTTTGACTGTAATTTCGAGGCTAGGAATCTCTTTGATAAAACTTCTATTAACCGGCGATTAATTCGACTGATTGAAAATCGTCAACAGCAAAGTTTTTAACTTTATAATTCGTCGTTACTTACTTAATCCTTCTTTCCATGTATCGAACAATTAGTAATTACATTCATATTAACCAAATACTGTGTAATACTAAGTATTACATTGACAAGTTAATCGCTGATTAAATTAATCGGAGTTTGATCGAAGAGGCTTTAAAAATGTCAGAAGAGAAAATTGGTTCATTGGAAGAGGAGGCTCTGAAAAGAAAAGAACGGCTTCAGGCGCTCAAAAGGAAGAATGAAGAAAGTGAGGGAAATAAGACAAACACGGACGAAATATTGCCAAAGTAAACCTCTTCTTTCAATGAACGACTTTAATCTCTTAATCTCAATGACTGTATATTATAAAATTGTTTAAAATCTCGAATTGTAGGCCAAAATTTCGGAGTTACAAGCCACAAGATGAAAATTTGAAGAATAATATGTTAGAGGATGCGAAACCTGGAGATGTAGAATCCGAGGTTCGTGAACAATTGGATGCTGCGAGCAGTAAAGTCGTCATCGAAGAACTAGTAAGTTATATGCAGAGATTTATTCTTATATTTTTCCTTTTTTTTAATCTCTTATCTATACAAAACTGATGACAAAACTTAGTCTTTATTGCTTTTGTTAAGCAAAAGTTGTTTCCAAATTACTTAAAGAATCCATATATATTTCCTTGCCCAATCCTTCAATGGCTATATCATATTACTATGATTGTCTGTGATTCTTTGTGCATAGAAACACGATTTTTTTTTCTTTTTATTTGTTTAGGACATCAGTAATTTAGCACCAAGAAAACCTGATTGGGATTTAAAGCGAGATATAGCTAAAAAATTAGAAATATTAGAGAGGAGAACACAGAAGGCGATAGCGGAAGAAGTGAGGACGCGTCTCAAACAAGGCCAACAAAATCTAGCAATTTATGTCAATGAAACTGATAAAGAATAGAAGCTTTGTTATCAGTAATATATAGATTTTGTAATAAATTATACACTTTTTTTTTATATAGAATGTAACATTATCAATAATAATCTTTGTTTGTAATTCTTCATTATCTCTTATATATTATGTTATATTATATTATATTACACAAATCGGACGAAACTCTTCACAAATTAAATTAAACGCTTCTTTGAACTCGCATAGAGAATGACGTAAATTGAAATTTTATCAACTTACATGCAATATTTTACTTTTTAATGTTTCTGTTATATCATCATCTGTGCAAAAAAAATTAATCTGCTCTGTATGTATTAGTTGTATTAGTTGTTGATACATATTATCTTGAATTACACATAACATTATATATACTGTGAAAAAATAAATATTTAATAAAATAGTGATAATTGTGATAAAAAATTATGAAAACTCATTTTTAAATATTCACTCAATTAAGTATCTCAACCTTCAAATAACATTACAATATTAAATTAATTTCTGACTTCTTTCCTTCAATCAATTTCCAGCATTCCGTTAATAAAAAATAAGATAGCAATTATGAAAGATGCCACTGACTAGAATATTCCACATCGAGGTTTTCATATGGCAAATAAAATGAGCGCAAAAAAAACTCCTAGCGCGATGATGGAAAATGGCACTTTGACATTGTGCTGTCCAGAATGTTCATCGAAACGATGATAAGTGCGAGGAATGTTTTTTGGTGTGGTCTGTTCTCTTGGAATATTTTGAAGAACTATTCGATCTTCCAAAGGCTGCACCGGCCGAAAGTTGTGAGTCAGTTTCTTGCCTTCTATGGTCCGTATATTACGGAAAGCAGCTAACTGAAATTGAGCGAGTAACATAATTCTTTGAATTGCTAAATCTATGTGTGCATATCTTAAATAAGTCGAAATTCCTTTTCGCTCTTCAATCATCAAACTTTATAAATAATATTATAACGATCGATATTATATGCAAAATACAATTGGCATACTTGTTCATGCGACAACCGCTGACGATCCTTAAACTCAATCCATGTAGCTACCTCGAGACAAGGTGGAGTTGTCAGCGAACCGTTATACGTGAAATAGTTTTGCATGGTAGTAATATCTGATACAAACAATTTTCGCAACTGCAAGAGCTCTCGCAATACTATTTCGTTGCCTACCGTTTCTATGTCAGGTAATACTTCTACGATAGGTTCGTACATTGGATTCGGATTAGGCCTTACCTGGGCGTAATTTTATTGAAATAAAGCATTAATTTAACACACCAAATTATCTATTAAAAGAATTGCAATTATATAAAAAGATAAAATTAATTGAACATATAAGATATCAATTACGCGAAAAATGAATTTAAAAAAATATGATAAAATTTTTCAATTTTAATAACATATTCTCTCTCTTTCTCTCTTACCTCGTATAGATATGCTAAAATAGCTAGACCATCGGGATGCTTAAAAGCTTCGTCCATCGACTTATAATTTTCCTTGTAAAAAACGGCATGCATTTCCATCGGAAACGAGCGATTATTAATTAAATCTTCGGATCCCTCGTAATCATTTTCTCCCCAATGGAAGTGTAATTGCTCAAACACATAGACATTATTTCCCAAAGGTCCTCCAGATAACATGGCCATTTTGGATTCGTTGATTTTCAACATAACTGAAGAAGAAGGGGAGGATAAATATTGTAACATGCAACGGCAATTATTGAGATCCAGCTTCTAGATTATCTTTTTTTTATATAACATGGATACTGCGTATTAAAATATTTTTCTACATCTAGAATCTAGAGAGACCGATTACGTATTAACGTGATTAGGCTCTTTATGGCATATTTAATCGTTGAGATTTAAATGTCCAGTGTATCACTTGCGAATTTTTTATTCCAGTCTCCTTTATTCAACATTCACGCGATTTACTGCTTTTACGGCAGATAATAATTATAATCATAGTACGAATAAATTGCCTTTTCTCGTTTCGTTTTTAATTATACCGCGAAGAAACGCGTTTTTTTTCGATTCCGATTGTGAACGCGATGTAACAGAAAACTTAGTATATAGCTATACACGTAGACAGGTAAACAAGTGGGAAATGTTTTTAAGCGTGCACGGTCAGAAACGAGCCGTGAAATTCTTACCCGTGTGACCGTTGTTCGTCACGAACGTTAGGCACGGATCGTCAATTCCGGTCAACTTCAACGGCGGTAAACTGACGTTCTTGACATTGTGCTCCTCTATATTAATGGGCGATTGATGTTTCCCGATGCACGCGTGATACTCCTCGCCCCAGTGCGATGGACCTAAGCGAGAATAAGATTGGTTTCGTTTCGGAGTAACATGCTATTTCTCGAATAGCGGATTTCTAATTAATCTCACCATGATTTCCGTCATAACCGAAATCCTCGCCTAGGCAGAATCCTGAAAAGAAATATTTTTAATTAGTAAAAATAATTATTCATGTTAGAAATTTTACGAAAAGGATGAGATGATATAGAGTAGAGTAATAAATAATGATGAGCGACTTTAATAGAATGCACTGAAAAGGAATTGTTAACTTGACTAAGTCCGTTCAACTAATTACCATTTTTTTAATTAGGATATTTAAGTATTTAAGTCAAATATACATCATGTTATATTTAATATGTCGTATTTGATTTAAATATATAAATATTTTAATTAAAAAATGGTAATTAGTTGAACGGATTTAGTCAAGTTTCAATTATAATTTTCAGTTACAAGTTTCAGTAACAATTTCTTTTTTCAGTGTGGAGATTCGATTTAATGCAGAGAGATGATACGTGGATAAAAAAATTAATAAACATACGAATTTATATTTCGAGTCGAGAATTTTATATATTTTATTTTGATTTATATATAATTTATGTAATTTTTTAGTAATTTTACTTAAAATTGGCATTAATGAACAAAAAAGATTTTCTTAAGACTGATATTAATAAAAAACAAAAATTTCCTTACTGAATTTTTACTGAAGCTCAAAGAACTGATACAATATTTATAACGAGTTTAAGACAGATCGATATCTCTTGCTCACAAAAATAATAATGAGCAATATTAATATAGCGGAGATTCGATTTAATACGAAGAGATGATATATGGATAAAAAAATAAATAAACATACGAATTTATATTTCGAGTCGGGAATCTTATATATTTTATCTTGTTTTATATATAATTTATATAAATTAATTTATATAATTTTTTAGTAATTTTACCTAAAATTGGCATTAATGAACAAAAAATATTTTCTTAAAAATGATATCAATAAAAAAAAAAAAAAATTTCCTTACTGAATTTTTACTGATGCTCAAGGAAATTAATACAATGGAACAAGGGAACTAATACAATATTTATAACGAGTTTAAGACATCGACATCTCTTGTTCACATGTCTAAATATAATCAGTGCACTTTCTAACGCACAAGCCATCAAATGCGCAGAAAGATTTTTGCGGAAGCTGAAAATGTATTTGAAGTTCTTTAGTAGCGGAAAACAATTGGTCGTTTCCGCGCATTTATTATGCACCATAATGCTTTTCGATTATCCGCAGACGAATGTATGCGCGATACCTTCCCGTCAGTACTTATTCGATGGGCAAGTCGTCTCGCTTTGCTGTGCCTTGTTTAAGGTTCTTCGCATCTGTCCGACACATGTGACAAGTATAAAGTATACGATTTACTCGAGAATATTACTTTCGTTTTAGTTGAGACGATTACGCGAAGAAACCGTCAACGTGACATCTTGGCTGGAAATCCTTGGCTGATTCAAAATGATTATCTCGAGGATGATGAGCCATCCTCGACGTCCTTCCATTATGCAAAATCTTTATTGTTGCACGATTACGTGAGACGCGTGCAAGGAGCATCGAAGCTCGCGATATGTAACGATAAAGTGAAATTTTGACTTTATTGTTTATTATTATCTCATTATTATTCAACGGAGACGTCTAACAATCGCTGCATACCAGGACACAAACCGATCGAAGAATCTATCTTAAAAATGTCATCTGCGTGACAAAATAAAAAAAAAATGATGTAAAAAAAAGAAATAAAAAGATTAGTATCACGTTTACTGCGACACATTTAATCATTAGTTAGTCTGTGTGAAAAAAAGACGGACAACTGCGTTCTAACAATAGACGAACATATTTAATTTTGAAGAAAATGAATATTCGCGTAGATACATTATATTTTCATTAATCTTGCATGATAAAATGACGTAGATCGATGTCATATGAATTGTCAATTACGTTTGTGACATTGCATTTGAGAATGCGCATTGCATTGTTCGATAATCATTTATTTATCAGAATTTCTCTTTAAAATTAAATGTCGAAATGTCGATGTTTTCACGTAACGTTAAATAATTAATCGCGTAATCATATCCCTTAATCAAACTTTCGTAACATGCGAAAGATTTTATTTGTTGATAAAACGAATTCTTTCACTAATTTTGTTCCACGTTCCACTTGTCAATCCATCAAGTTTTATCTCTTCAGAAAACATTCGTATATCGCCAGAAATTTACATTTTTACAATTCAAATAGTCTTCAACGACGATCACGGTATAATTTCAAGTTTCGTGTTCGCTTTTTGAGACATAAGAAAATAATCGCCAGAAATTATTCGATTTCAAGTTCTAGACGCTTTTCTTATATACTCTCTCCATTAATTACTTGGGAGATGATACATATTTTAACACGATAGAGACAGAAATAACACGCACATGTATATATACACAAAGCCGACGTGATATAAAACGATAATGTCTACAATTCGAGTACATTACGATTTTTATCGACATTTATCATCACTTTTATCAGTCAATTTATTAAAAGAAAATATGAGACGTCAAATTAGCCGGAGGTATTAGCCGGAGGTCACAACTTTACGATGTGCACTATGGATCATGAAAAAAAAGTGCATCGTTTTAAAACTTCTTTGCGTCTATCCTGCTTTTAAAGTAGCAAAAATATAGTAGCATTAATATTATTTTCTAGGATATACATGTGTAGTTATGTTATAGTTATATAAGATCTTAACACTGGAAGTATTTAATGATTAAGTATTTAATGATTAAAGTATTTAATGATTTGTTTAACATATATATTTTCCGTGAAAAGGATTTATCACACTTTATCATATGGTTACTTTCATACAATTATCGTTATCATATAATTATCATTATATTTTATTTTTAAGATAAGATTAAGATTATTATTATATTTATTTTTTTTTATTTATGTTATATCTTTTTTTTTTTCTTTAAGATAAGACTTATATAAAAGCAAAATTAATATTATTACAAAAAAATCTTAAATCAAATATGAGCATCACGATTTGCACTTTGCAATTGAATCGTGTTAAAGCATCTAGAACTTGAAAGTCAAATAATTTCTGGCAATTATTGTCTTATGTCGTAAAATCTAGCGGTCCAAGAATTGATAGCACAAGTCGAGAATCATCACGGCATCTTGCATCTTAATCATGATTCTCGTAGGGTATTCTGCGATCATCTGCAGCGACGATTTCGATGCATATTAATGCGGTTGAATGCATATTAATGCAATTGTTGAAGATACTTAACACATACCTAGTATTCATTGCACACGCAAATAGTTGCAGTTTTGATTCAACCGTCTAGTATATCGAATTTATCGAATACAGCGGATAATCCATTTAATCAGTTTTGTTTTGTTTATATATAAATTAATTACTACCCTATCGCTCTCGAAATCCGCTTTTAATATTAAACAAAAATACATTGGCAGCATAATGACGATGATAATTTGTTTATTTATGTTATATCTTTTTTACTTTGTGATGTAAAAAAAAGAAATAAAAAGATTAGTATCACGTTTACTGCGACACATTTAATCATTAGTTGGTCTGTGTGAAAAAAAGACGGACAACTGTGTTCTAACAATAGACGAACATATCTAATTTTGAAGAAAATGAATATTCAATAATTTGTTTATTTATGTTATATCTTTTTTACTTTGAGATAAGACTTATATAAAAGCAAAATTAATATTATTACAAAAAAATCTGATGATACGCTACGGTATAATCGAGATATTTTTTTTATCACAAAATTTATATGATAAATTTTTGTAGAATATCATCAATGTGTGCGCTAAATGATTTTGTTATTTCCTTCATTGCCAATGCCGAAATCGACGCAGAAATACCTTAATTCTTTGTTTCTCTTATACAATTGTACACAAATTTATATATTTATGAAATATAGAATAATTCATATTATTATCATTATATATATACAGAGTACAAAAGAAATGTGAAATAAATCCAGACTTATTTTCAGATATATATATACGTATATAATTCATCTATCATAAAATTTAATTAGATGCATAAAATGTAATAATTCTTCTGCAATAACAAGAAAATGTTGGTGTTTAATGTCATTTAAATTAACAATTCTTAGATCAACAGCTTTAAGACACTGCTTATTCTATCTAATCATTAAATGATACAAATTTAAGATATTATATTAATTTATTTTTAAATTTAAAAAATATTCGACAAAGCAAATAAGTATATAATATCCTTTTTATATACAAATTATATAATAAATATTTGACACGATTGAGAACGACAGTTTGAAGAAGTAGTCTCGATGGTATATTAGGTTTTTTTTATAAAAGAAATGCTATCGTACATAAAACTGACCGTTAAATATACAAGCGAAGAGGCGTACCTGGAAGGAGAAGAAGGCCAAGAGTAGCGATCAAAAACACCATGATCATTCACCCCGTCGGCGTATAACACCGTGAAATCCCGCGGCGGACTCGCCGATTCGTCGAGAAATCAGCGAAGGAAAATGTGAATGCTTTGTTACGGTCGGTGGAGGACTGAGGTGCCGCCGGCTCGGTCGACCATGTTAAATAAGAGTCCTCTGCTTTTATTTTGCGGCGTGCGTGCGATTGACTCTCCGCACAGCCGCGTCGACAGCAGGGTGGGAAGAACAATTTCTTCATTTCGTGACAACATCGCAGAATCAATATGTCGAGTAATAATTTCAAGATACGATTCCCTGTTGACAAAAAATAGGCGAATTAATAACGATCCTGACAAAAATTGGCTCTTTTAATTGACATATTAGCGATCGATTGTCTGAAAATCAATCTGAATTTATTCCACATTTTTTTTGTACTCTGTATATATATAATAATAATAATATGAATTATTCTATATTTTTTTCCAAAAAAAAAGGAAAGAACGAGACAAATGATTACTTTAATTCCGTATATGAAATATATTTTTATATGATATCCACACACATGATATCAGACATTAATTTATATTTGTAGATGTATACTTTTACAATATAATATAACGTTATAATAATTTTTAATTATAAGGTTCTCGAAAATTTTCAATGTTCATGGATTTTTCTATCCTTCATTAAATGATAATTTATTACATGTCAAATCGTCGTAGTTCTTCATCTAGGACGAAGAAGGATAAGACTGGCAGATATTTGAATTCGACTTGTAATTTGACAATCAGCTATATAAACTCTTCGTATGTATATGCTCACTTTACGATGTGACGTTTTGTAGACTTACGTTTCACAGAGGCACTTTTTTATCTTGATGCTTGATAGTTTGTTTGACCGATACAAGCGGAAGTCTCTTGAATATATCCGGCGATATGTGGTGAATAATTTACGGTACTCTTTCGTCTCTACTGTCGTTTTTCGGTATTCTCAACATCCGTCTCGCGAAATTGTTCTCTGCGGTTTTTTCCAACGACTGTAATCTGCGACAAATTTGTTATACAATTTGTGATCTCATTTTTCAAATTGGTTATTAAGAGATTAATAACATCCTGTTTTTATCATTAATGTAAAAGGGATGTTTTTCATTAAATTTCATTAATGATAGACTGATTATTAGATCCATTGTATGATTTGTGTATAATGTATCTCTAGTTTTTAATTTTTGAATATTTTTCCCATTCTAAGGAAAATCTAGTAAATATATATGTACAGGGTATCCCGAAATTAAATATCAAAACTTTGAGAGTATGTGGGGAATTGATAAACTAAGAAAAAAAGTCTTTAAGAGATTTGCTTGTTTTTGTTTCGTTAAAAAAAAAAAAAAATCACAAAAAAAGAAACAAAAAAATTGTCACCAAAAAACTTAAAGCAATACTAAAATTAATTGGTTTATCGAAAAATACCATGAGAAAAATTGTAGAGCATGGAATTAAGAAAAGAGAATGAATTAAAATCCTCCTGAGGTAAGATTAGAGGATTGTAAATAAATACGCGACAACGCCAGATTATTGTATCCTGTTTATTTAAATATTTATTACTTAAATAAGTAATAAATAAGTGAAAAAATAAGGAGCTTTTTTCCTTTCAATTTACTTATTTATTTACACCTATTTATTCATGTTGTCACTTCTTTAATAACAGCAGAAATGTAAACATAAATTAAAATAAACAGGATACAAAATAATCTCGCGTTGTCGCATATTTACTTACAATCATATTTACATCTAATTTTACTCCAGGAGGATTGTAATTCAGCCTCTTTTCTTAATTCCATGCTCTACAATACTCTTTTATTTCATGGTACTTTTCGATAAACTTAATAATTTATTTTCGATAACTTAATAATTTTAGTTGTTTTAAGTTTTTTGGTGAAAATCTTTTTGTTTCATTTTTTTACGATTTTTTTTTTTGCTCGAAAACGAGCAAATCTCTAAAGGACTTTTTTTCTTAGTTTGTCGATCCCCCATATGCTCCCGAACTTTTGACATTTGACTTTGGGACATCCTGTATAACAAAATATAAAAGCAGTAAGAAAAGTACAATAATTCTAAAAAGAAAAACTTATGAAAGAATATATAAATAAAAATACAAAATGCAACACAATTATGTATAAGATAAAGATAGATTTAAAGAAAGATTGTTCAAATAAAATTTAAGCAGTTAATAATATTTCACTATTGTAACCAAATTTTATTTTTCTTCCGAGGGGAAACACGTTGAAGTATCGGACGAAGGTCGACTTGCTCGATAGCGTAGACAGAAATTTCGTCGAAATAGGCAACCAACTTTGTTCCTTAATGAGCATAATATAGACGCTCAAATAGAAATCTCTAAGGTAACATGTGTGAAAAACAAAGGTAAGGAGAAATTCTTTGTCCAGTGAGATCGATGATTTTATAGTAAAATAAAGACGGTATTGGCTGCAGGTTTTCTACGAAAATATTTATAACAAAAAGAATATAAATACATACGTTTTTGCATTCTTAGTTAATAGACGATCAATCGGTTGTCAAGGCACAAACCAAGAAATAAATTGAATTCATTTCATTTTGATTAACATCTCAGCACTTTGTATATTCTTTATATGACTGATGGAGAATTAAAAATGGTGCACGTGCAATGTAAAGCATTACTCTTGTTTGGAAATTTCAATATGCTAATATCGGAACGATAATATTATTGTTGTATTTAATAGTAGAATTCTAGAAAATTAAAGTAATTGGTCACGCTTAACAATACAACGTTAGCGAATGATGGAGGCGCAATGTTATTGCTCGACTATTGTACGTCGATTGCACAACGACAGAAATTGAGATAACAATCGGGCAGCTAATGTGTGTGATATGTAGCTTACAATTTGTGACCGATGTATCGTCTGCCGTCATGCATTATACAATATGTAATCTATTATTAGTAGTATAAACGGGAATGTGATAATGGCAATAATTATATATGATATATATGATATTTATGTATTTTATATGATTTTTTTAATATTGCTAATTCAAAATAGAAATAGCAATTTAAAGCCAGTGCGAATTTCAAGGCGCATACTTTATTTTACATTATAACTAGACATTAAATTTTAACTCAAATGTAATTTTAATCGACAATGTATTCGGTTCATATATGACGATTTCCTTTTATAATTTATGTATAGTCAAATTTTGACTCTAATGGACTTTTAAGCGATAATATTATCGACATTCGATTCATATGACGATTTCCTTTTATAATTTATGTACAGCTGACATTTTTGCAATGTTATAATTATTCCATTATATTTATACGCTAAAGAGGGTCCAAAAGAAGAACCGAAACATCCGATTTAGATTCGAGTATGACAAATGTCTAAGTTATAATTTAAAATCAAATAAGCGCTTCGAAACCGACGCTGGCTCTAAATTGCTATTTGTATGTTGAATTATTAATATTGATTTTGAGAGCCTGTGTTTCCCATAGTTTAATTGGTTTTAATATTGCGATACACAGTCAAAGAAAAAGAGAGAATCTGTTTAACAGATTGACACGATCTCATTCGCTACTAAATCATTTTTCTTATCGTAATATGTTTTATAGAATATAAATCATGATTATAATCATTGAATAAATGAATTAAATGTCTTTTTCACAGCTTGCCTCGTTCGATTAATTTACATAATACATGGCTGGTTAAAAGATGTGTTATATAATATCGTATGATAAGCCAATATTCTTGACAACAAAGTGCGTGATGTGAAAATGACGGAAGCTCATCCATTTATGGATTCCAATAAATTGCTAATCTAGTGACTGCGAAATATCATTTGTTTACAATTTCAACAAACAATTATCAAGTCGTAATTATTAGCCCAGACAGCACAAGGATGTCCTTAGGACGTCCAAAGGGCATCCAGGACATACATGTAGGATATCCTGAGGATATCCTATTTTAATCCTCGGATCTCCTCTGGATGTCCTGAGGAAGAGTAAATGATAGCCGTACACTAGCCTCTGGAGAATCCAGGGAGATCCTGTGGAACATCTTAAGGATTTCTATAGGATATGTTAGGGATATTTTTCATACGTTAAAAGGAACAAATTCTAAAATTTAAATATAAATTAAGATTGCGTTCTGTTATTTACTGCCAATACTAAAAATCTAATACTAAAAATAGTTCACGTTCTTTAATATTTGAGGTTTTCGTGCTGTACATGAATATTTTAGGTTTGGCTTCCGGGTTTGAGTCGTGTAATATTTTCAAAACAATCCAATATCTGACTTCCTTATGTTTGGATTGCATCAGAAATTGAACTGATAAAAAATAATTATATTTTTAATTTCCTGTTAGTTGCTCTTTGCAAGCTTTATATAATTCTCATGACCAAATCTCAAATACGAGTTTGCGCTTCGCATAGCGGTAAACAAACTAACTAGCGGTTGAATACTATTTTTTGTAAAGTTTTTGGAATGTTGCGCATAGTAACATTTCTCATAAATTATTAAATAAATAATAATTTTGAATATGTGAAAATGTGCGCATCAAATTCAATTATTAATATTAAACGAAATTAATGTTAACAGTTAATTGCACATGTATATGTCCTCTGGAAATCCAAAGGACATTCAATATAATAGACAGGGCAGGTATCCTACAGACATCCAGGGGTTATCCAATGGACATTTATAGGACATTAATACTTATTACAATACTTAAAATTTCTAAATTATATTAAATAGCCTACATAACCGAAAGTAATCATGTATGCATATTAAATTTTCATAAAATATATTTATAATAATATCTTAAAACATCCTACAAATATCCTGAACCATCCTGGACATATTCAGGATGATCCTGAGGACGTTTTGTGCTGTCTGGGAGGTGATTCATGATAGATAATTATGATAATTACACATTACAGATAATTATATTAATTATATATTATAGATAATTATGTTAATTATAAATTACGTAAATTATAAAAGCGTGATTTTAGTGATTCAATTTTATTCAAGATTTTAAATGAAGATACCACACACACATATATAAATTTATAATTGCAAAAGAAGTATTTCTCAATTCACTGTGAATACAAATCTGATGTCAAAATTAATAAATTTGAAATGACAAATTTAATATTATTCTGCCATTTCAAATTCGTTAATTTTGACATCAGATTTATATATCAGTGAGTCGACAAATCATGAAGTTTGAATAAACAATTCAGAAATATTTTTGCGATGCAAATACATACTTTATATCTAATTTTGAATAAAACTTTTCCAAATCATTTCTATAGCTTTAGCACAGCATAAACAGTTTTTTTTACATCCTTAATTTCAAATTTCGTGGATATGATGAAGCATTTCAAAAATTGAAATTGTATTCAGCGAATTGTATTCATAGAAACTGGGTATAAAGAACTTGCACTTTTTCTCAAATTTTTTTTTGTCGAATTGTGATATCATACTTGTCGATTTTCCTAGATATCGCGTGTGTCGCGATAGACACTATGGCAATCGAAAAATCCCTAGCATACAAATTACATTGCTGTTCTGTGATTGCTGTGTTTAAGGGTCGGCAGGAGTGACGGACAAACTCCGAATTGATATTGGAGACCTCGCGCGGTGACAATGCGAAACTCCGACTTCAGGATTACCAATCTGAGAAATAAATTCTCGATCTCTATGTAGAGGTATATGTCCATATACGTACACACACGATTGAATTGCTCGCGTGGACGCACCGTGGAGAGAAAAGATAGAAAAGGATCAACGATCACGTTATCCTTGTTCCTCTAGCGTATCGCTTTATAGCCGAGATACGGCCTGAAAATGCTTTTTGGCCTCTCGTGACAAAAAACAGTAATGCAACTAGGCTAACAAGCGCCCACTTTTTGTAAATTTTATATTTGTTTATGCACATTTATGCGTATATATATGTATCAATAATATCTAAAAATTATATATATGATTAAAAATTGTATGACGATAAATAATAACAGTAAAATAATAACTCACAGAGTGAACTAATATACAATATGTAAAACACGGGCACTTATTAGACTTGGCAATTTATTGCTTTTTTACTTGTTGCTTTTTCATAGATACTTTATGTGTTGTCAGCATGATAGAGCGACAAGGAGAGAACAATTGTTAATTCTTGGCTTACATTATCTTTCAGTAATTGCAAATTTATAGACCGACAAGTATGCTATCTTGATTTCTTTTCGATTATATCGATATTATCGTGTAAAAATATCTGCTACATAAATACTGATAATATGAAAGCATTTACAAGAAATATGTGATGGCTCACAATCAGTGCAAGAGTGTTCAATCTATCACGCAGTGAACTCAAGTTCAATTCCACAGACATCTTAACAAAATTTTTTTATATTTTTTGTTATATAAACGTTATTACATTTTGTGTGAGAATCAGGAATTTGACTAATCAGAACAAAAGAAACTAAAATTTCTTTGTCCTGATTGGTCAAATTTCAATCTTCAATCTCAATCTTCAATGCGTAGTCTGATACGGGCTTTACGATCCTACTGATTACGAATATTGCTGTTAGAATTAAATTTTCTTTGTATTTTGGCCGTAATACGAAAAAAACGTATCCGTAGTTCACGGCTTCCCGCGAGAGGTCTCTACTGTCTCTCCTGCCGACCCTTAAGCGGCTTCAAAGTATGTATGGGAGCTGGGTATCGATTCTGTAATTCGAGTGAAAGTGAAAATTACAAAAATGAACGAATTTACTAGAAAATTTATAATTTCATTGGTCCAAACCTAGTAAATTCGTTCATTTTCGTAATTTTCACCTTCACTTGATGAATTACAGGATCGATATCCTTTCCAGCAAGAAAACACAAATAGACACAATGCCACGCAATTGGCTATTAAATAGAGAATTTTTAAAGACCCTAAAATTTTTCTATTTGACACCTAATCATGATTTTGTGCCTATGTGTATTTTTTTCTGAAAAGTTCCCTATATCTAGAACTCGTGTTAAGCCCGTATCAGACTACGCATTGAAAATTGAAGATTGAAGACTAAAGATTGAAATTTGACTAATCGGAACAAAAGGGACTAAAATTTCTTTGTCCTGATTGGTCAAATTTTAATCTTGAATATTGAATCTCAATCTTCAATGCGTAGTCTGATACGGGCTTTACCGTCATTTCGCGCACATATTAGCACGGAACGCAACCAAAACTGTGCACATTATATATTACCCACTGATAATATTCGTGGAATATGACTTGGTAAACCTTTGGCCACGTAGTTCGATGTCCATGTTTCTATGTCCACAGAGGGCGTATCGTTTTCAGGGATTCGCCAAAAACCGAGCCGTGACGTCTCTCAGGCTTCTCTCTGTACATATGTACGCATTCTCGTTGTTGCCGTCGCCCGCCGTCAACGTCGGCGTTGCCTCGGTACGGCGCTTTGGAGCGTAGCAACGGCCCGGTCGCGCGGGGGCCGCGTGCTGTCACCGCTGTTTCTCCAAAATTTGCGTGCGCGCGAGAAGGCAGCAACAGCTTGCCGTCGCGGCCAGTGACAACGTTTATTTTCGATAGAAAGGAGAGAGAGAGAGAGAGAGATAGAGAGATAGATAGATAGAAAGAGAGAGAGAGAGCTCTATCTCGAGACTCTGCTGCAGCGGTTAATCTGTACGAGAGCGACGAGGACAGCCACAGGCAGGTAAAAGACGCGAGAGCGAGTGAAAGGGTAAGAGAATCACTAAAATTGCTGGAAATGCGCGGCCTTTTTTTCCCGGGTTGCGCGATTATGTATCTGACCGCGCCATAATTGCACGATCATTTTAACGGGGAAGAGACAGAGAGAGAATGACAGAGAGGGAGCGATAGCAAGTGCCATAGTGGAAGAGGGATAGAAAGAGAGAGAGAGGGTCGATAGTGAAACGAAGCGAGAAGGAACGCGGTAGAGCGGAGAACTCTCTCTCTCTCTCTCTCTCTCTCTCTCTCTCTCTCTCCGTCGAAATGTCGTTGAAAACGCCAACGCGGATACAGTGATCGTTGGCGCTCGCCTAACTCGGGGTACCTCGTCTCCCTTCGAGCCCTCGAACCACCTCTCTCTCTCTCTCACCCTTTCTGTATCTCTCTCTCTCTCTCTTTCGATAAAGAGAGAAGATCGCGGGTGCATCGATTACTCGCACGGTCACCGGGTTTGTTTCCCCACATTTTTTTTTGTCCCCCTCGTTCACGTCCACGTTCGTCGTTCGCGTTTTGAGGTGAGAAGAAGGCGATCTTGGATCGTCCCCCCCGTGCGAACCCTCCTCGGGGACACGATCGAGAGGCGAAGTCGGGGAATCGTTCTCCCCGACGACGCGGATGTACCCCCAGATATCCGTCGAACGGAGTAGAGGCGACGCGACGCGATTCCTTTCGCGCTCGCAGTGAAATCGATTTCCCTCGCGTTCGATTCCTTCCTCGGCTCCAACCTTTTGTTCGTCGTCATTTAACGCCGCGACTCTCGGTTCTTTTCTCTCTCTGTCTCTCTTTCTCTCTTTATGCTACATCACTCCCCCTCTTCCGACTCCTCGCGACGCCGCGCAAACCTCTTTTCGCGACCGTTAATGTCGCCTCACATCGACATATATATATATATATACAAAATATAAAATAAATAGTCTGTATCAATAATTAATTAAAAGTCATCGATTCGTCGATCCTGTCATCAAATCGGAGCTGAATTCGCAGAGCGAGTTGAAACATGTAGTTAACAGGGATCACATCGTCACCCTCGTGACGAAGAAACTTTTTAGCCAACAATCTGTCCTCCTGGTCTCTACGCGTCCAAGTGGCGGCAAGAAAAAAAATTGACGGGAGATGAGAGGTCGGCCGAGCATGGTTGGAGGGAGCTAAAACGTTGACGCGATCCAGAACTCGAGAAATGTCGATCCGAGCGCGCTGACTAGTGTTAGTGAACGCGGAGCATCCTCGTTTTACTCGACGATGCTTCATAGAGTGTGCCGGTTTTTTTCCGAATTTTCATAAAGAAAGAGAGAGAGAGAGAATATTCGTCGAATTTTTTCCGAACGAGATATTCCAAAAGCGTGAGAATTCGAAGCGTCTTTCGACTTTTTTTCCTTTTCGTCTCGATCGCTCGTATGACCCAATAAGACCGAAAAGTTTCGTCGGAGATCGAGGTGAAACATTCGTGGCTCGTGCAGGTGATATTCGCCCGAGATACAGCGATAACTTCTCGGGTATACGAACGTTATGAATAATTCACAACGGAGGCGAAACGGTCGCGAGAGGCATTACTGGAATGAGTCTGTAACAAAGCGCGATCGCTCCACACTCGCGGATAAGAATCCTCATCTTCAAGATAACAGCCTATTCGAAGTTTCAGAATTATCAGTGTTTTTTTTTTTTTTTTTCTCACGATCCGTCTATTGTCGTCTCGTCGTCAGGCGACTGCGTCCTCTTCCTTTCTCGAGTGCCTACACAACGCGTTCGTGTCCCTGATAATCCTTATTCCGGAGCGAGTTTAGTGACACTTAGCTAGATCTTGGTTAATTGCTATTTAAACTGGTTCTCTGCAGGAAGGAAGTAGCTTTGTCACTTGCTGTGCGCGGAAAAAACGAAATAATTTATGCAAATATTATTGCATTAAAACAATTAACCTTGGAGTATAATCCTTACTTTTGGAGTTGATAATAGTAACACGTTTACAAGCTTTTACAAGTTTTTTTTTTATTACACAGAAGTTACATTACGTGCTTTTCAAGCATTCTTGCCATAGTGCATTTTTTGTAGTAGATGATTAATTTGTTTTAATAAAGGAATAGGCACATGAAATTTGAATAATCGTAAATCTTTAACTTTCTAAGAAGATAAATATACGTATGATTTATTGCATTTTTTATAGCAGATTAATTTGTTTTAATAAAGAAATTGGCACATATGAAATTTGAATAATCGTAAATCTTTAACTTTCTAAGAAGATAAATATACGTATGATTTATTGTATTAATAAAAATTTGATTACATGTAATAAGAATAACAATCATATAATAATCAAGTATCTGTTACATTATGCAACCTTAAAAGAAAAGAATGGATTGTGTTAAATTAGTTATATACTATTCAAACATTTATCTGAAAAAAAATTGTTTTATTTCAGACTTTTTTGGATAGAATCGCATATTGATAAACAAGAAAATGGTGTCGACTCGTCAATCAAGCAACATGGGAAACAGCAGTAGTAGTAGTTCAGTTGGGGAAGTCGGAGAAACGAGTTCATTGAAAAAGCATCATCCGGTAACAGCTGGCACATCTAACAGTGGATCCACAATTGAATCGCGCAATCTGAATCTTTTGGATTTACCTGTTGAAATTCTTGAGAAGATTTTTGGCTATTTAGGCTTCAATATGGTAGCACATATGCGTCTAGTAAGTACTAGATTTAAGAATCAATGTAACTTTATTTACCATAATAAGTTTACTTTAACAAGCATATTGTTCGCATTAGGTTTGCCATCAATTGGACCGTATTTGTGGATCAATTCTCAACTCTACATTTCAAAAGCTGCAGGCTCAGATGTTGAGCCGTTTCCAGGCTATCAAGGCGCAAATGCCCAGACGCGAATCCGCGCGTCGAAATCACCCTTTAGCTTGCGAATCAGATATCATAGAAACTCTGCATATGCGGCTTACCTTGCTGCAAATGAGTTTCGGCAAACACATTGAGCGGAAGCATTGTTGCTTTTTCCCCGGCGAAGTAAGTACGATGGTAAAGTAAAGATCGAAAAGTAAAAATCGTTCGTATAGCCAGATTTGAGCGTAGCAAGATCGATTTTGAAACTTTTTTTTTGTATTTCCTTCTTCATATGTTTCCCTATAATTTCCCACTTCTCTTCTCTTGCGCTGCATGTGTAATCAATTTATAGCAAAAAAGTAAGCAAAAGATATTGTGCATGTTTCCATAATTTTACTTAATCATTTTAAATGATTGAATGAATTGATTCTATTATATTATAGATATTGATCGATACTGATTGTTTTATAGTATATATATATAGATTGATCCAGTAACTAAACAATTTAAATATATTATTTTACAACAGTTCACAAAATGCTTGATGGACAGAAATTTTTTATATCTGTTTGATATTATCAGATAAGAATTATGAATATGCACATATCTTCTATCTTTCACTCACTTTTTTATTCTAACATTTTTTAAGGGATTTCAAAAATGATATAAAAAGATAGGAAAGCTAGTATCCTGATATAATAAATAACGTCTAATATGGATATTATATAGATAATAGAATAAAATTATGCTAAAATTTGACAGCAATAACTTTTTTTAGAATAATTTTTTTCTTTATGATCGATTGTTCTGATTGACCGATTGTGAACACCTCCTGTTTACAAATATGTTTAATCTGATAACTATGAAAAGAAAATGGAGTAAAAATTATCTTGACCGCGTTTTGCAGATCCTGGATGAGGTTTATCGCATTCTTTATTACATAAAAGTTACTCCGAAATTGCAAAGACCTTACAAGGTCACAGATGAACTGTTTGATTTGAGCACTATGGCCATGGAATATTTCAAGGAACACATTGAACCAACATTACCGGAAATACCTTATTTCGGTGCTGACTTTCTGGATCTTGCAGGAACGTTCTCTTGTAAGCCAAATCGATGATTTAAAATTATACTTCTGATTGTGTAATGTAACTTTAGGGAGAGCCATTATTGTTACAGCTACTAGTAGTGTGAGTAAACCATTTATGTGCCTGGATTCCGCACCTTTAACCGTCGGAAACGGAAAAACGGGCAATACCGGCGAAGAAGAAGGTTCTTCGTCGCATTGTTCAGATGATCCTGCTCTCTTGGAATCCAGTGTATCGCCGCCACAATCGAATATGGTTTTGCGAAAACGAATTCGCAAGATCAAACAAGGCATGAGAAGATACAATAGCCAGCTGACACTGATGCGCAGGGATTTAAAGAGTTGCAAAGCAAAAATCGCCGAACAACAGAAACAGATTGTGGAATATGCCACTCGATTGGACGATAATGACAAGAAGAATGAGGAGACGTCGCGAAAATTCAGCACGCTCCTACAGGTATTTACCCAGGTACATTCGAGAAATTCAGAACAAAGATGTATCAAGTTCATAATTTATAAGAAATCGCTTTACTTGATATTTAAAGTAAATCTTATATGTAGAATGTGAAAACATATTACAAATCTTATGTCTTGGTCTATTTTTACTCTGAACTTCTCATTTGGTGCAAAAATATGATACAAAAAAAAAAAATCTGTATTTGTAACTTATAAATATAATTGAATTTTTCTTTCTAGGAATTGAACAAGTGCAAAACCGAGCTGCAGTATTGGCGATCCAAATCACCAGCAATACCAGTATGCGTAGGTTGCGGCCAGTCAATGCCAGTCCCTACGGAGGATTTACAAGCTTTAGCCAATCAGGGAGTGTTGCCAGATGCATTTGGTGAGGGGCACGATTTCATTCCCATCGCGGATGCACACAGTCCCACCGAAGTGGTACAGCAATCCGTAGTTACGCAATCTCCTCCGTCGACGCCGACGGAGGAGATGGCACCCCCAAAGGCTCCTGTGCCTTCGATATCCTTTAAACGGAGATCCACCACAGAGGAAACGTCGAGCGATTCCGCGAAAAAATCACGTCGCACTGCCAAGTCTCGTCAGGCTAAGCGCTCAAAGATATAAAATCGATAACACTGATCATGGTACAAATATCTGTTCAACCAATCTCTAATGGATTTCCGGAGAGATGGGGAACTTTCTACGATAGTTTACGCGCGTTTCTTTATGTCAGCAAGCCGATGATCTTAGAAGAGTACAAAATTTCCTCACCGAACGTCCTGCATATTGCGCAACGAACCTCGTTTTAAAAAAAAATTTATCGCGTCAATATAATGATCATCAGATTTTTTTCTCATGGACAGAGATGTTGCCGCCGATGCATGGCGTGCATTTTATAAATATTCTAAAGAAGCCTAGCCGATCATTTGCTTTGCTCATAAAGCAACGTCTTAACCATACTTTCCCGAATTCCTATTAAAATTCTTTGTAATTATTTCGCAATTATTACCGTCATTGCTGCGGTACACTCAAGGATAATAGAAAGTTAAAATCGAGTTTTATCTTTGTCATGCATTTAACAGCGGTATCACGCGATAAAACAAAATAACTATTATCGTGGCGACTCGCCTTCCATTTTGCTCTTTGATCAAAAAAGTGCAATGGCTCTCATCATGTTTTTGGTGTATCTTTAATAAAACCTAGAAAACTAGAGACAAGCAGCACAGTTCAATTCATATGAAAGAGGTTTATTTTGTGATCGGAAAAATGTCGCTATTCGGTGGCGCAGATCCGAGGAATACTACTTGACAACTTCGATGCGATTATTCTTCGTACTGAGAAAATAAATTATGGAAAGTATTATGTTGCAGCAATGTTGCATAGAAACTACAACTTTACAACTGTATGATATATAATGCAGATGCATTTGTGTATAGTAGTAACAATTGGTAGCAATATTCTTCGACTTACTTTCTTTGAGCGAACTGATACTCTTGTCTCTAATTTTCATGGCTAGAACATAATTTGAATATCGTTTTTACCTTTTTTTGATCAAATTAGGACAATATGAAAACTGAAAAAAAAAATTATGTATACATATAAACATAAAAGTTTATATATATATAAACTTTATGTATATATACGTAAATTTTACGAAAGTTCATTTTTATATCAAATGAATTGGTGTAAACAAAGCATATAATTTTTTTAAAAATCGGAAGTTTTGTTTCAGCATTTGAATTATTCTCTACAATATAATATTATAACTTGGTGGTAATATCGCGTGTATAAAAATTGAAATTAAACCACTAGCAAATTTTATTTCAAAATATTGATTAAAAAGTATTTGAAAGGACTGATCTATTAAAACTAGTTTGCGCAGACACTGCAAATAATGCACCAATAATCATATCAATTCATTTTAATTATTTAAGCTTGCTCAATTTAGAAAATTTGTTTATAATCACATATATAATTAGATGCCATTAGATGTCTTATTATCCAGTTTTATAATTTGTGTTCATTTAGATTTTGGATTAATTCAAATAGCTGGATAAAATCAAAATATTTCATGATGGAAGTTTCGTCCCAGCCTTATGGCGCGAAATAATCCGAAAATCTGGCACAAATTTAAGTCATAACAAAAGAGCAAAATGTTGATGAATACCTGGAAAGGTGGTAGTTTATTTTTACGAATTACACTGTCTTATTAAGAGAATTATGCGAAAGATAGTGTACGCGCGCATTGCAATATTAATAGAACTAGCTAATAATTTATAGGAATGATTCTACTTAGATAAAAAAAATATTGGGTATCATGCCATTTTTTTATATTACGTGAAACAATGAAGTCTTGTTATTAATAAATTCGATGGAAATTTCTCTATATGAATACACGTTTTGATGGAATTTTAAAGTAACAGGCGTTCAGATTCGTAAATTAAAATAATCGAGAATATTTGCAATCGGATTTTGTCGGAAGTTTGACAGTTTACCATGCACAATTATTGGTACAGTAGCAGCAATTTACGTCTCATTTGCATTGATTACCCAATTAATCTCAAAGCAGCATAGTTAGATATTGTGATTTTTTCATGATTCTACTTATTAAAAAGAAAAAAAAATGGAGAATACGGATAAATAAGTGAATGATACTTTATTATAAATATATATATATAATTTTTTATCGATGTCAAAAGAAATTAGAGAGAAAAAACAGAGATAACACTTAGAGTGCGAGTCTAACGGGAGAATACACGCGCATATGTGTGAGGTGAATGTGTGTGATATATATATAAAATAACTAAATTCAAACTCTACGAGAATTTACGATGTGATGCTTTATCGATTTATAACCGCGAGAAAGTGACCTTTATCCGAAATAAAAAAAAAAGAAAACACGTGAAGCGTTTCTGGCTGCGAACGAGTATGTAAACTTCACTTATTAATGTTACGTTGAATAGCTCATTACGGGGGCGGGCATAGCCAAATCGCACGTGTCGGAAATTTCGAAATGCTTGTATGTTCACTCTGTAAAAATGTCGCGCGAAATATTTTTTCGGACATCCAGAGAGGATAAAATTCTCGGGGAAAAAAAAAAAAACGAAACTCGCATCGATTCTGTTACATTATTCGGGCCCCTAAGAACGAGCACATATAAATTCAGAATCGACATCAGCGGCCGAATTGCATCAACGTCAAGTCAGTACTAACTCTGGTCAACTAGTAAAAGATTGTGCATTCTGATAATTGATCATCAAAATATTTTTCTCTTATCATAATAATACAATACAAAATATCCTCATTACAGCTTTGTAAGATACGCCATATAAAGAGAAATCATGTGGCAAAAGTTCATATATCATCAAATATAAATATATATTATTATATATAAAATATGTTCACATGATATATAAAATATGTTTTCTTTCTCTCGTATAATCTTTGTTCGTATATACAGGAGATAGATATGAGAAAAAAAACATGAACATACATATAATTATATATATATATTTAATATTATTTATACGTGGACTTCTTTTTTTCAAAATAATTAATCGAAAGTTAATTAATTTATACTCTCGGAGTACATTTTAGCGTAAAAAAAAAAATCAATTCTTTTTCTCCAATACCCATATCGTAAGTGGTGTATTTTAATATAAAAAAAATTCTGATCCGTGATTGTTAAACCTAGAATTGCAGAATAAAAAATCAAGTCGAGAAAGGCAATGTTATTCAAGGCTAATCCAGGACTTAATTTGTAAGAAAGATGCACTTTTTCATCTGTGAATCAATGAACGGATCTAAAATATATGAGAATGAAGGAAAAATCTCGCTAACCAGAGTTAGTCGGCTGTCGATGCATCTTAGCCTATAATACATACATATATATAAACATACTTCACGTATACACTCGCTGTATACACATCAACACCTGCAACAATGTTGTCGCGTTGCAAGGTCGTCTTAAATAGTTTACGCTCTTCTCGGCTTTCCGACATAATCCGTCCCCGAACGATACAAATGTAGAACTGTGTACTACGCATATATGGATCTAAGTTAGGCTTATGATCGAGTATAACAGTGAATATGTGCGATTAGGAGTAGAATAATTTCTTAGACGGTAGAGTGCTGTCCGCGTGGGGGGAGGAAGGGAGAGAAGTTCTATATATGAAGAGAGGAGGACACGTGTGTTTTTTTTTTCTCCCGAAAATATATCTACTCCACCCCGAAAGCCTGCTATCTGCAAGCGTAATAATGCAAGCAACAGTCCTTGCCTCAGGTACACAATAGACAAATACGCAGGAATATCGGAGAGAAAATCGTGTACACTTTACGGAGACAAAATGAAAGGAAATTAGACAAAGGAAAGATAGGAACACAATTTGCCAGGCGGGAATAAGCGCTGTAATGGCGGAAATGAGCGCTGTAACGCCGAAGAATTACGGATATATTATCTTAAATGGTTTTACGTGTATTAAAGCGATTGTAAATATATATATTAGATACACACCTTATAATAAACATAATTTAAAAACAAAAAAAAAACAACGTTTTCTAATATCTCTATTTAATTTATATATCTCATGCATGCGGCTAAGAAAAAAAAAACAAGAATTACCGCTGGATTGATTATTATCTGTCATTGTGAAAAGACAAAAAAAGATGTTTGTTGCGTTCAATTTATAAACGTAAAAGTAAACGTTCTTAAATTTTTTATACACCATAATTTTTAATTTTTACCGATATACGTACACATTTTTTTAAAATAGAGATGAGACGCGATTGCCAGAAGTATTACGGGATTATTCTCTGGTAAATAATTAAAATAAATAATGGTGATGAGTAATTAATGGTAAATAATTAATATCAATGTGAAATTGCCGATGTCGTTCTGGAGTTGATAACGAAACATCGCGAGCGTAGGATGGATTGATTCTGAATCACGATGTATTTAATTGGTAAAAGTAAGTCATAATCATATTTTAATAATTTTCGATTGCGTAGCATATAAATCCGGCGTTTGGCGACGTGCGGAGTATCATTGTTTACGTTCGGTCACGTGTCATGTTGCTGTCATTCGCGCAGCGACACTCGAACAGGTAGGTAGTGACGCGACAGGCGACAGGCTCCGTATGTTATGTATTAATTTTCGAGACGCGATTGCGAAAAGTATTACGAGATTATTCTCGATAAATGGTTAATGAGTATCATTTCACGCATTTATTTAAATTGTACGATTAAGTAACTCGTAAATGTATTAAAAGAAAGAAAGAGAGAGACGAGAACTTGTTACGAAACAAATATTCAGCATACTTTATTTACTTGAATAAGTATCGACGCGATAAAGGAATTTATATAAATCATCGTCTCATGATATACAGATACTTATAATAATTTATAATAATAGTCATGTATTAAAATCATATTTCAATAATTTTCGAGCGCGTAGCGTATAAATATAGTTTGTATGGCTATCGATGATTTGTTAAAGTCTCTATGTATTCGTGCGCATGCGCCCTTTTCCCGCATTATTTTGCCGCCATAATCAAGTGCGCGTCGTCTATCATTAAAGTCGAAAGTGCCGTGCGAAGTGTCGCGCGCTCATTAATTATATTCGGATGTGATTAGTAATTAATTGTTTTTGCGAATGCGCGCTTAATCGTAGTTAATTATTTTTGCTAGTTAGTGCTACACACGAAGGAGCGACAACGGTGAAATAAGAGAGGAGGAGGAGGCGGCATCAGGCGATGATGGAGCAATTAGGTTAACAATAATCGATTATTTATTTATTATTATTATATTTGTAAAAGATTCGAAAAAAGAAAAATTTGAATGCGTAATTTCATTTCGAGATATTAAATATAATTTGAATTAAAAAATAATTAAAAAAATTCAAGTTAAAAATATAGAAATAATTATTGAAATATATATTTCACAAATCCATTGCGTTGCGTTAAAATGGACGGATGGGGACAAGTTGAACCAAATATTTAATCCTCGAATGTGACTGCGCGTCAATGTGCATACTAATAAGATGGATACATACAAATATTATAAATAGGATATTAATAATCTATAAATAGGACGTTATTTTTATTTATCCGTTATTTAAATATGATCTTTTTTATATCAAAATTTTATTTACGGTAAGATATATTGGTAAAAATAATAATTACATTTTGTAACGCATGCATTTTGTATGCGCATCTCTTTTGTGATAACCTGATAACTTTACATATAATTGATCTGAAGATCTCATAGTACAATAATTTGATCATTTGCTTTAATTTAGATTTAATATAGATATTTAATAAAATATATTTGTGTATTTTATAGATCAACACTGTGTATTATGCAGTATAACTCCGTCGCTGTGCATCGGTGAGTTTAAATTATTTTTTGTTTTAATTTTTTATGAGATAATGGATTTGAAAATTATGAAATATGAAATATATGTATAAAATTTATCTATATTAAGATGACAAATAATATTAGAAACAAATCGAACAAGTTGAAATATTTGTTTGATAATTATATAATTGATATAATTTTTATTATTTTTTAATGTAACTTTTAGTATTTTTTAATATATAATTACACAATAAATAATGGTTTCTAATATAAAGTAATATCAAGTTTAATATATAAAAATTTGCATTAAATTTGCAATGTAATAATAAATGCCATTGATCTGAAGATCTCATAGTACATGAAATTTTTCTAGATATTTTATAATGATCTCAATTCTCATTTTATTTTATCAGCGCATGCGTAAGACTAAATATTGTTGCGCTTTCGATCACGTGGTTACGTAGTGGTTACGTATTGCAAAAGGCACAGCTGATTCAAAATAGCGGAGAGTCAAGAATAACGAGAGAGATAGAATAGAGGGGGTGCTATGGTATCTTCGTCAAGATGGCGAAGACCAAACAAAAGTATATAATTACGTGACAAATACGTCCAAATTGTTTGTGATTGGCCGGAAAAACTCGGCGTGTTTCGACATTTGCCTTGACACATTTTCCTTCCTATACATACACGAATAAATCTAATCCGATGTCCGAATATTTTGACTTAATCTACCCGAGATCGCATTATCAGAGCCAAACCGTGCGTGATTCGATTCTTCGTCCTTTGGATTATTAAAATAATCTAGTCTCTTGCAGACGCACAATGGCGGATTCATTGCATAAAGATGGATACGAAAACTGTAAGTATGAAAAAAACCATGACAAAAGTGTCATTGTCATGTGTCAATTTTTATGGTATTACTTTACCACGCGATTTTCCAAGTCTATTATAATCTGTCGTTATAACCACTATCTTACGCTTTTTACACGTGGATGAAGCAATGGCTACGTTTGAGAGAGAAATCGTTGAACATATCAAGATACTCTGGTTGATCTTAGCACTTGTATAGCGTGTTCAACGAAACGTGTTGTGTTTTGAGAATACAATTATTATTTGCACGTGGAGGGGACACCCCACCAAGTTCTTTCATGCGCGTCTGAAAATCTGCGCAGCCGACCATGTGACCGTTTTGTTTGGCAGATTCGTGTTTATGAGTTGTCAATAATGTGCTAAAGTTTTTGCATCATGCGTAGATAGAATTTATCCTTTCGTCTGGTACGTAAAGATCCGTTTCTCTAGCTGTTAGAAAGTTATTTTCTGTGCATTGAGAATGCAATTATAAATGCTTGGGTATTTTTTTAAGAGGAGAAATAAAAAAAGAAAATTTAAAGAATAGTATAGAGAATATGAAGAAAAAGAAAACAGACCTAAGATGAGACAGATACAATACAGAGGATTTGAAGAGAAAGAAAGAAGAGAGAAATTTACAGGATGTAAAATTTAGCAAGAAGAAAGCAAGAACTTACTTTCTAATGACGCATATTATTATTGAGAGAGTTTAATTTTATGACCGCGACATCATTATCTGTAGATAACGGTTGCTATCACAAATTGCTGATAAGCTACTGCTGATATCGTCTTAGCTTAGGCAGATGAATCTCTAAAACTCAATAATGCAAATTACTTTCTGATACGTTTCTTCGTTCAGTTGATTCTACTGGTCCATCTAGATTTATTTAATTCACCTTTTAAAAATGAGATAACTATCTGAATATATATTGCTCCAATATTTTCAAATTCTGCAATTTTGTCAATCTTCTATTATTTAAGAAGTATTTGTACAATACAAAAGAATACATTTGATTAAAAACATATTAAAATATATAATTATTTATTTAAAGTTGAAAGTATATATTATGTGCATTTTTGTTGTTTTTTGAAAACAGCTAGTTTAACTATGCGCGCTAACAGTGGTAATATAGGATCGGACAGCGACATGAAGCTGGAGCCATCTAGTCCTACGGAGAAGTATACATTCTCTCGTTGTAGTAGCACAGGATCGGTGAACACGCCATCTTCATCTGCTCATAATACAGGTAAGCGGTTTTCAATACTGATTAAGAGTGTTTGATGGCAGACTGGCCAATAGAAAATTGATAAGATAATATAATGTTTAGAGGATGAGGACAGCGATAACAAAAATTCCACCATAAGCTACAAAGAGCGCAGGAGGGAAGCTCACACACAAGCTGAGCAGAAGAGACGAGACGCTATCAAGAAGGGTTATGACTGTCTTCAAGACTTGGTTCCCACTTGTCAGCATACAGACTCCTCAGGTTATAAGATCTCCAAGGCTACGGTGCTTCAAAAATCCATTGATTACATACAGTTTTTGCTGCAACAGAAGAAAAAGCAAGAAGAAGAACGTAATGCTCTAAGGAAAGAAGTTGTTGCGCTACGCATTATGCAAGCTAATTATGAGCAGATCGTCAAAGCACATCAGACGCAACCAGGACACGCCGAAATGCGTGTTTCGGACGAGATGAAATTTCAAGTGGTAATATTATATGCTTTTGTCTTTTTAAATCGCCATAATTAATCATCTATCTTACATAACGTATATTTTGTGTGTTGCAGTTTCAGGCAATAATGGATCGCCTTTTCCAAACGTTCAATAACGTGTCTGTAGCTAACTTTGCGGAATTATCCGCCTGCGTATTCAGTTGGTTGGAGGAGCATTGTAAACCTCAGGTACACAACTATATTTCTTATATCCATCCTGCATTTCACATATTTCTCTGACAAGGAGAACCCACAAGACTGGGGTCTCCGATTTTGCCAAAATTTTCTAGGATTGTAGTATTGATATAGAAAGCATTTAATTGTCATATTATATATTTTCAATTTAAGAAATATATAATCAATAATATATTATAGTCTATAAAAGTAAATAAATGAATTTGTTTATGTAGCTTCGTTGCATAAAAAAATTGCTTAAATTGCAGCATGGTAAAATTCAAACAGCGATTTCTCGTCAATGGTTGAGTAGTGCATCGTCTCCGAATAGCATTTGTTATTTTTATATCAATACTACAATCCTAGAAAATTTTGGCAAAATCGGGGACCCCAGTCTTGTGGGTTCTCCTTGTGAGATGCGAGAAAATTGATAAATGCATTTTTATTATTCTCTTAGACTCTGCGTGAAGTGGTACTTTCTGTACTGCAGCAACTCAACAGTCAGATTAACTAGTCAAATGTATCCCCAAGAAAGATACACGATGCACAATCTTTCTGAAGAATTTGTTAGCTTTGTGTATCTATTGAGAATATATGTTAATAATTAGGAATGATTTCAAGATTATGAAACAAAGTATACACGTATTTCTTTGTTTTTCTATTTTATTAGTAATAATGGAGACTCGATAATCCGAGCAAGATAAACGAAATTGAAACATTCGAATTATTGTACCAAAAATGAAATGAGACATATTGGTAATTTTCTCGCTGCATCTTCCATATTAATGAAATGTTTTTTGGCAATCTAGTTAATATCTGCATAAATCTGGGTTTATATTCCATATATTGCTGAAAAAGGCTTTAAAGTGTGATCTCTCAATGTACTCCAATGTGCATTTAATCTTTTCAAGCAAATTTGTTGTGTAATAGAATTATTTGAATATTAATTCTTCTTACATTTAATGTTTTGAACACACATGCACACAACACAGACAGATATAGAAGTTTTAAATTTATATTAAAACTATTGTTGATTTTTTTTTTATATATACAAAGTGATTCGCAATTTATAATAGAAATGATTATAATTTTGGAACACATTGTATTTATATAATTTATATTTAATATCTTTTTTGTTTATTTCTTTTTTTTAAATTTTGTGCGAAACAAATGCATAATAAATATCTCTTAGTTTGTATGGATAATCAGAGTTTTATAGTTTACAGTAGTGGTGGTAAATCTAGAAAAACTTTCTGTATGATGAGAGCTTCAGACCAATCACATGTAAAGTTACCACAAAAGAGATGCGCATATGTTGCATATATTACAAACATATAATATGCGTGGGAAAAATAAAAATAAGAGTTTATTTTATATACAGTTAATGTGGATGTAAATATACAGATATGTGATACAGGATTGTTATCAATGATCATACCGTTGAACGTTTTTATTAATCTTTTATTGCATACACTTTGCGATAAATAAATGGCATATGATGTATATATGTGTGAACGTATGTATGTATATCTGATTATGTATATATAACAGATTTATAATATATATTTACAATGAACGAATGTATGCGTAGCCAAACTTCAAATGTACATCTAACATTGTTTCCTAATTCCTATATATATAGATTGGAATTAATATTCCTTTTAAAAATATGAGAGGTTTATTGGAAATATTATGCACATATATATATATATATATATCCTTCTCAATATCATCATTAGTTTTCGTTCCCATCTGTCGTGATTTAAAATTTTACACTGCATTACTTTTACGATTGCAATTGCTAATATTGCTGCAGAAAGAGCATCCTTAAATTTTTTGCAACCTTTTGTTTAAATCTTTTCTGATTCCGTGGGCATACTTTCCTGCGTGATATCGTTCAATGGTATCGTGTTTAACATGCCTCTATTGGAATTATCGATTTCTTGGGGATTCTGTTGACGTCGCCTCTTAGATCTGCCTCTCGGCCGACAGCACAAATCGCGAAAGATGCAAGCGTAGCAGGCGAGCAGCGCGCTTATCATCGTCAAACCGCTGATCCCGAGAATGACAACCAGAAAGATGGAAACGTTGTCGTCCATTTTGTATCATGCGCAGATTTAACACTGTTTAAATCCTGTAACAGAAATTCATTTCACAATTTTTTTTTTTATTTTGGTATTTTTGACTGATTTGTATTTGTAGTTATATATGTCACGGAAAAATTCATTGAATTTTTTCGGCCTAGAATCTATAATTAAAAAGTGTATATAGATAATTAAAACCGGATCGAAGTCCTAATCAGATTAATTGATAATAAATTATTCGGAAATCTGTCATTGTAGAAAAATACTCCGTTTTGCATTAGTCGCTAAAGTAATTGGCTGCTAGCTTTTTCATGCGATTACTATCAAAAAATTCCATTTTTTTTATTCGCTACGTATTCAATAGCTTATTCGATGATGATAACATCTCGAAAGAATAGCCCTCGTAATTACTTTCTTTTTTTTAATTATATCTTGCGCAACCCTGTTGGAATTTAGAAATTCAAAAGATAGTTTTCGTGAATTAATCGAAATGCGACGCCACGTTTTTTGCGATGTCAAATATACTGCGTAAAAATTTAATTAAAATTAGTCGTCAAACTTAATTAATTTCGCTATTGCGTGTTATATTCCAACATTCTCTTTTCATTATTTACCGATTTTATTCTCTATTGACAAATAATTCAGATTCAATCCGCATACCGTTCGACGTGCTCGCATTCTCTCTTTTTACACGCATGAGATATCTCACGAGATATCTTCGCTCGATTGAGCGATTATTCATATATTCACTTACGAATTCTACTCTAGGATTCCCGAAGGATAATCTCTCTCTTCGCTACGTCTCTTCCTATTAAAGTAAGATCTCTCCACGTGAGGAAAGGGACGCGTAAAAGGTGTCCTAAAAAGAGAATCTATCTATATATCGTTATAGGCAAAGAAAAATGCGGAAGTCTTGCAATAGTCGGGATGTGGAACCATACCGTTCGACGTGCTCGCATTCTCTCTTTTTACACGCATGAGATATCTCACGAGATATCTTCGCTCGATTGAGCGATTATTCATATATTCACTTACGAATTCTACTCTAGGATTCCCGAAGGATAATCTCTCTCTTCGCTACGTCTCTTCCTATTAAAGTAAGATCTCTCCACGTGAGGAAAGGGACGCGTAAAAAAGGTGTCCTAAAAAGAGAATCTATCTATATCTCGTTATAGGCAAAGAAAAATGCGGAAGTCTTGCAATAGTCGGGATGTGGAACTAGGATAAATGCCGCGATATAAGGGAGATCGTATTTCTTTATATGAATACTAAATGCTTGCTGAGAACGTTATCATCGGTCTCAGCGCTCGGAGAATTTTACGAGGGGTCGTTTTGTGCGCGATAGTATCCTTGGGTCAAAAAATCCCATGCGAATGTAAAGAGACGCTGCTATATAAAAACCGTGAACGTGAACTATGCGCGAAATTTACAAATTGCAAGATCAGACTATTTTTAATGAAGCGCGAAGACTTTCGGAATTGAGACGAAGCGAGAGAGAGAGAGAGAGGGGGGGGGGGAGAAGATATATTGATTTATATATTGCTTTTTTTTGAGAAATTGTTTTGTCTCTCGACAATTTTTGTGATACTGCAGCATCCAATTTATTTTCTGCGTCCATCTTTTTTAGTTTATAATTCAAAAATATGATTGATATCGGAAAATATATAAGGATGATTGCACAAAGTTGAGATGATTGTTTCTGTCGAACAAACACCGTGACGATCGTTTATCGTCACATCGCGATGAAACGCGTCCTATCTCTTTATTTGATTTATCTGATTAATTCGTTGGCGCATATCTCGTACCGTTATTCGCGATCATTTGTATAAAATTAACGAAGGATCATAGAACCAGAGAGAAAATGACTATACATTTCTGCATCAATAAACGCTTTATGCTCTCTAATTCGATAACGATAACGATAAATGGAGCGCGATTTTTATCACACGCAAAATCGGTGAAAAAGAAAATTATTTGTTTAATAATTTTTTAATAATGCCATATACAGGGTGAGTCAAAACACTATAATAAAGTATTTTTTCATTAAGTACTTTTTTAGTTATTTTATATCTTAATCTGACATATTTTGATATAAAAAATAAAATATCTCGTAAAATATTTAGTTTTCGGTAATCTTACCGTAATACTTTTATATACAGAATAATGAGACAATTGGTATAAAAAACACAAATAATTATTTTTAAAAAAAGTACCCCTTGTAAATAATTACATACTTTTCCTTGAAAACAATTATTTTCTTTATTAATAATAAGTAAAAACTATCGGCATTGTGCTGACAATAAGTAATAGATTATTATGTAGTAGTAGTTTGTAAATCTTTAGATTGTAATAATGTGTTTCTGTGTTTGGTATATTTTCTGCCCAATATTTGACTGTATTCATATATGCTATTTGTGGCTAATTCGCATGTTGGTTAATCTCGTGGGAAATCTGTGGCAGATTTACGGAAGATCCATGCTAATTTCTAGTTATGAAGACTGTGCACAAGCATAGGATCTTAATCGATTTTGGATACTTTCAGGTATATGTGTTTTAGCTGCTGAACGAATAATTCCATCCTGCACATTTTTTCATGTGTTTTCTCGCAAAAATCGATTTTGTAATTTCGCACAATATTAATAAGTCCCATTTTAACTTGCAGTATACCTAACCGTTCACCTGCAAAATATTAATAATAATAATAATAGTAATAAAAATTTCTATAAGATTATTATATACGATTATTTTATTATTATACTGGTATTAATTTTGAAATATGAAAAATTGACAAGTGAGAAATTACTTTTATATTACAATTTAACAAGATAATAAAAGCTAGAACTTCAAAAACACATTATTATAGGACATTTTTATAATATTAAAACTAAGTTGTGTATAATCTAAAATTACTATTTTTATGTCTAGAGATACCTAAATTATTATTTTATATCTGTAATATTTTGTTTCTTGTAAAATAATTAAACATGTGATATTTTGCGTACCAATGCAATTTCTTGGACCGTGACCGAAAGGTATAAAATGCATTGCCTGTCTAGATGGTGCTTCTTCACCGATGAATCTTTCAGGATCGTAAATTTCTGGTTTGGGATATATTTTTGGATTGAAATGAATACCATAAATAGGTATAATAACTACTTGATCCTTTGGGATAGTTACTTCGGAATTTTTGAAAGTATAAGCTGTTGAGCTTTGTCTCATTATTGTGTCTGCTATTGGATATTTTCGCAGTGTCTCTGCAAATGATTTATATTACATAAATATTTTATATATATTT